TGAGTAGGTTATACACAAATACTACACCATTTCATATAAGGGGCTTGAGCATCTGAAGATTTTGGTATGTGCAGCAGTTGTGAAAACAATTCCATTTTAACTAAGGGACAACTGTAAATGTTCACACTTTAATAAACATGAATATCACCTCTTTATTGCTTTTCCAACTAATCAGGGTCTGAGAATATCTAGATAAAGGTCTGGGAGGCAGATGGTTTGCCCATCAATACAGGGCAAAGAGGGAAGTCATGGCTAGACATTGGGGTGAGGTAGGAATTGAAGCAGTTTTGAGCATCTCCTCCTGAACAGTAACCAGGTTTTTGTTGCTCAAGAGGGGAAGAATAGTAAGTCTGATGCTAACAGTGCCAAGGACATTTGTTGAAATTAACAAAGACATATTGTTTTTGAGTTTGAATTTTAAAATGCCTCTAAGATTAGGTGAGAGGAAAGTGTCACTCTTATGTTGGAAGAAGGAAAAAATAAAAAATTTCTTCTGCACCTAGAATATAAGTGTTCATACTTCAAAAAGAATCAGCCTAAATATTTTTGTTTTCAATCTTCAGAAAGAGAAAAGAAAAAGAAAGCTTACTTTATAAAAGAACAAACATTTACTATAAAACAATGGCACTCCCTGAAGGGGATTGTGCTCCCCATGAGACATTTTGCAATATCTGGAGGCAGATTTCATCATCACAATTGGGGGGTGAACTGGCTTCAAGTGAATGTAGTTCAAGAATGCTGCTAACTATCCTACAAGGCACAAGACAGCCTTCTACAACAGAATTACCTGTCCCAAAATAGCATTAATGTAGAGGTTGGGAAAATATTTAATGAAAGAATGAATTAAGGTCATTTTAGTCGTTGAGTGTGACCTTAGGAATCATATTATCTTGCCCTAATGTGGCTTTCTAGACTTAAGAGTTCAATCAGGTCAATTAGATTAGTTTCTATTCCCTAACAGTTCTGGGATTCCCACCAAGAGTTCCCAATAAGGACGCACACATCCAGCTAGAGGAACTTTTTCTTGAAATTATAGTGTTAGATGAATCAGCTAAAGCCCACAGATGTCCTGGGCAGTCCTTAGGGGATGACCTTTACGGTCAAATCTCTTTGACATAGTTTATGATTTGGAAACCAAGCTGGATATTTCCTCTGATCTTCCCCAGATACTAATTTATTTGTTGGTCTTCTTTGATTCTGATCCCAGCCTAAAAAAAATTTCTTGTCCCACTTTCCCTGCATCAAAGAAGTTAGAACCTCTCCTGCTTGCATACCTCCTTTCTGCCTCATGTTCAGTTTTTCATATCCTTAAAGTATAGCTCTGACAACAGCTGCATTGTCTAAGGTTTAGCACTCTTACCCCTAAACATTCTCATTTGTCCTGGCTTGGGTTTCACCCATGCTATGCACTGACTCACACTTTCCTTCTGTGGTTACTCTGGGGAGACAACAGGAAATTTTCAAAGTATTTCTAAATCTACCCACTATAGACTGAATATTGGTATCCCCCTAAAATTCATATATTGAAATCCTAATTCCCAGTGTGATATTAGGAAATGGGACCTTTAAGATGTCATTAGATCATGATACAGGAATCCTCATGGATGGTATTAGTGCCCTTATAAAAGAGAGAGGTCCCTTGCCCCTTCCACCATGTGAAGTACAGTGAGAAGACACCATCTATAAACTAGGAAGCAGGGCCTCCCAAACATAAATCTGCTGATATTGGATTGATCTTGGACTCCCCAGCTTTCAGAACTGTGAGAAATAAATTCCTTTTCTTTATAAGCCACTCTATGGTATTTTGTTATAGTATCTCAAATAGTCTATAACAACCTCTCACACCTGTGCTCAATAATTATAACTCCATAGCAGTAGCATGATAAAGCAGACACTGTTTTACTAGATTTCAAATCCTACTATCTAATTGGTAGAAGATAAAAATAAATACATATTTTCCCCATTGAGTTAGGAACTACTGCCCTTAGGCAAAAAAGAGGTGAAGCAATAGTAACAATTTATATTGGTGCCCTGCACTAGACTTCAATAAGACTTGACAGTTTTCTCATCACCCAATATACTATTGCACTTTCTGAAACAGGACTTTGTCTAATAAATCTGCCTCGTTTTAACTATAGTTCTTTGCTAGGAAGTGTGGAACTAAACCAAAGTGACATTATAACTATGGATAAGGGTCTGTGTCACATAAGGTCCAGAGCGAGGGTAAGTATTGCCATATTGTTTCATTTTGAGGCCATTTTCTCAGGACAGCAACCCAGCCCAGACATTAGAAGTAGCTCCCGAGGAGCGAGCGGTTATGATTCTACTGCCTGAGGTCTGAGATCACAGAATGACAAAGTAACTCATTTTCTATTGGCTGAAAAGACAGCTGACTTGAGTCAGGAGAAATTTCATAGCCAAACAATTCAGACAGTCTTAAAAACTTGTGTGTGAAGGAGAGGCATTGTATGAAGTAGAAAAAAATGGTATCCATAATTCCCTTATGAACAATATGATATAAAACAATATGATTTAAAAGTCAACTAATTTTTATTTTTATTGTGAAAAATTGTATATGTGCTCAAGAGTGTATGTATACATATGCAATATAAAGTATAATAGTATGAATATTATTATCGCAACCTAAAAGACAGTAACAATAATTTTTTTGTTTTGTTTTTGGTGGTGTTGGGAATTAGTACTGATGATTTTTAAATTCCTTATGTATCTCTCATTTCCCATTTTCCTTTCTTGGATATAAAGACCATTTTAATTTTGCTTATTTTATCCCAGAATAGATTTTTCAGTGAGAGAGAAGGAAACTTTTGTATCAAGCCTCTGAGGTTCAGGAGTTGTTTGCTATTGTCTTAAGATAGAGACTGATAATCTGAATTTAGGTGCTGCCTTAATAAAATACTAAAACAAGTGGCATCAATTTAGAAGGTCTGCAGTGGGAAGCAGAGTAACAAATATAGGAGGTTAGAAGACTCCTGTTGCCTTACCAGACCAAGTCTAGAAGTCAAGGAAAAGATGTTGGGGAAAAACTAATAACTATGTGTGATGAATGTTATTGGTTGCCTTTGATAAAGGCAAAAGAGAAAAAATACAGCTTACGATACAATTAACCAGTTTGGAAAGAGAAATAAAAGGAGAATAGAGAGAACCTAAAGGGAAATCCAGAGACTGGGAGCATCAAAGGACATAAAAGGGTTTAAAAATCAACTACCTCTAGATTCTAAAGAGAAGGGTTTCGAAAAACACAAGGCCACTAAAATTATGGCTTGTGGCAAAGGAAGTGTTATCAAGACAGATTAGGAGTGATAACCTCACCCCTTAACCTATTATTTTAATACCTTCATTGTAGCCCAATTCAGAGGAGAGTGGAATGGGCCAAAGAAACAAATCATATTCCAAAATCATGATTATTACATGTGGATTTGGCTGCTATTTTGTCCAGGAAACCATAAACTTGGACAAAAAAGACTTTAGAACAACAACAACTAACAAAAACTACCTCCAGATACCCAAGTTTGTTCAAATGAAAAATAAGCCCTGAAATCTGTGCATCCCCAAAGGAGGGCATAACTCCCAGCACCAACTTCAAATGTGAGAATGAAGATTAAAAAGGAAGAAACTCCCATGAAGTGGAGCCAGAGGCTACTGAGAAAAATGCACAGCATGTATATAACTTCTTCCTAGGAATCAGAATCATAGACTAATTGAGGAACATACCCCATTCATAGGAAAGAAGGCCTTCCCTTTCCCCGTCCACTGGGATTCCACTAATGCTATCTACCAATAATATTGCACATTCCTCTTTTCTGGGTGAAAGTTATTCTGGGCATCCTTCCCTGCTCAGACATCAATAGGTACATTCCACAGCTGTTTGGGCACAGCCAATATTTGGCTATCAGATTATACAGTATTAGAACAGAGGCTTAAAGAAGAGCATCTTAGATAATGATAGAAAAGCAAAGAGATTTTTTAGTTAAAAATAAATCATTGTTCTAGTTATGTTCAGCAGACTTGAAAATATACTAAGTTGGAATCAATTTTAAAATATCAGTTGAGATTCTAGAATCTGAATCAGTGGTGCAGGCAGGCTTGGGGCTATCGCTATCAATGAATGGTTGAATTTATCTCTGTAGCTGCAAAAAAAGATATTGTCTATTGAAAAATCCAAATCCTCTCAGCTTTACAAAAAATCTTGTTTGATCCAATATAAGTGGGCATAGGATAATTGCTTCAAGTCAAACCCAGTGGCTTAACATACACCAACATATAACAAAAGATTCACTTTTTCCAAATGAGGGTTAGCAAAGTGAGAAGAATGAATCTACTATCTGCAGTGATTTAGAGACCCAAGTTTCTTCCTACTTATGGATCTATCATCTCCTGGGGCCTTGGAGTTTGATTATAGACCTTTTACAAACACTTATAAAACAAGATTAGGAATGAAAATGAGTAGAACCAAGGCGGCTCATCTGGGAAGATTTATAGGCAAGTCACAGAAAGACATATGTCTTATAAGAGTATGTGGCCTGAAGTAAGCACAGGATCACACATAGCTACACACCACAGTGTTTCGTACCTGTATCACAATAGCACATATGACACACATTAATCAACAGTGGTTCACTCACATGATTAAAGAAAGGAGTATGTACATCACTGGAAAGCAAAGTGTTTCATACCTGTGAAACGTATTGTTGTTGTGTATTCTATAGAAAAGGTGAACAGTTCAGTAGGTGTGTATAGCAGCCTTTACCACGGACATCAGTTGGATCAACAAATACTCCTTTGCTTTTTCTTCCGAGACTATACTCACCTCCTCACCGAGGAAGATGAAATAAAGCCTTGCCCAGTCATTTATTCCAGCAAAAATGTCAGTGAATAAGGTAAGAAAAATATGTTAAGTGATGACATAAAGAAATGAAACATATGCAAAGTAAAATAGATTTTTATTGGATTTTAAAACACTTGCTTTTTATTCTTAATACTTTAAGTGGATGGATCCTTCTGACCCTGAAGGGGTAAGGGTCAATATTTACCCATTTGATGCAAAGAAATAGAAAACTGGACAAAAATGGATGAAATAATTATTTGCAGATATTTGGCAACCTACACTATAAGACTGTGACCCCTGAGAAAAATGACGTGAGCCCTACCATCACTCTAGATTCTGCCTGGAGGTACAGTGCAGAACTCAGAACAGCAAAGGGGATCCCAAGTAAAGAGAGTAGGAGACACAGGCTGGAGTTCAGGGAGGCTGAAGTGACTAAAGTTACAGGGAGAAAGAAATTATACAAAAACAACTCCAGAAATCTGCATGGAATCCTCCAAGTCTTTGTTGTATACTAAGCCACATAAGCACAGAATGAAACTCTTAGGTGAAGCTAGTGTGCTACAGAGACCAGGGAGGTATTCAAGCTCTAACCATCCCTGTGATCAATGGAAGGCATTTATTTAGTAGAGGTTCTGCATTAGCTTTGCCATAATATCTCTTGGGTAAAGGTTACTCTACACTCATCCCAACAAATATTTGAAAAGATTAAATTGAACTGTAAGTAACTTGGCTGCCTATAAGAACAAGCCCAAGAAAGCCTATAACCAATTATGTGAAATCATCAATGCCCAGCATCCAATAAAAAGTGAATAGATACAACAAGAAGCAGAAAACAAGACCCCAAACCAGGACAAAAACTGGGCACTAGAAACAGACTGAGAAACGACAAAGATAAAGGAGATAGCAAGTAAGCAGGTAAAACAGCTATTATACATATATTCAATTATTTAAAGGTAACATAATATTGTGGGAAAATGGAGGATATAAGAGAAAGAATCAAATAATACCAAGTAGTCTACCACAGGTTATAATTAAGTTTGTAAGAAAAGAGGCAACACAAAAAGAATATAAAAATGGCCCCAAGGGGGCCAAGGCAGTGTGGTTACCTGGCACGGGTGAGGCACTGGGTTCGATTCCTAGCACCACATAAAAATGGCATGCTGTTCATATACAACTACAAAAAAAAATTTAAAATGGCCCCCAAATTTCCAAATTAGATGAAAACTTGAAACCTATAGATCTAAGAATCTTAATGAACCCATGCAGTATAAATGTAAAACCACTCTGAGGCTCATTGTAATCAATAATAGAAAAATATTAAAATCATTCCATGGGTGATGACTCAGAAGGCTGAAGGCAGGAGGACTGCAAGTTCAAGGTCGGCATCAACAACTTTGCAAGACCATCAGCAACAATTAGCAAGACCCTGTTTCAAAATAAAATAAATAAAAATAGGTCTGGGGTGTAGCTCAGTAGTAAAGCACTGCTCGGTTTAATTCCCAGTACCCAAGAAAAGAAAAATCTTAAAAATCTTCCAGTTATAAAGATATATTATGCATAAAAGAAATTAAAAAATCATAGATTTCTCGGTCAGAAGCTTTGTATGCTATAAAATAGTGGAATGATATCTTGAATGTATGAAAAGACTAAAACTATCAATCTACCATGTTCCCTTCTATTTCCAAGGCATTATTCCTCTCCTTCTCCTTCCATCCCTGGGATCATCATTTGAGGTCAGTCTATTTCTTTTCCTCTGTAAAGTTGATTAAACTGTACATTATACTTTGTCATTCAAAACTGGTGATGATAATTTTTCCAAACAAAAGTATAAATTCATTACCAGCAGACTTTTACTTCATAAAACTGTTTAAGAATTCCTTCAAATGGAAGGAAGTATTGTCAGATGGAGACTGAATATGTAGTATATTCCATAGGAATATATTACATAGGATTAAACATGTAATATATTTTGTAATATATTACATAGGAATAAACAATGCCAGAAATGGCAAATATATGAAAACATAGAAATTGAAAAGGATGGATTTCCAGGACAAGTTATTATGGTTTATTAGAATGGGGAAAAGGGGTAAATGTTAATAAAAAAATGGTATCAGTAGTACTTCACAGTGCATTAGACTTAAGAGTTTACAAGTACTTTATTATTTTATTATATATTTACAAAATCTGTAATATTATATAATCATCTTTATTTTATAGATGGGTATACAGCAAAAAATTAACCTTACCCAAAGAAAGGATTGACCTTTGCTCTCAGATATTGAGAGATGATAGCCAAGCCTTTAGAATGTCTTGTCTTGACAGATCTTTTTTTATATTCATTTTTTAGTTATAAGTAGACATAATATCTTTTACTCTATTTTTTTTAATGTTTGTAATTCTATATAAAATGTTTATTCAGTTTTTAACAGACTAAATAAAATAGCATTCCTATATCTGCAATTCATAAAATTAAACAAAGCAAGAGTTTTTGTGTACTAAGATGCACTCAGCCATCACTATAGTCAATTGCAAAAATAAATAAAAAACTTAGGTCATCTCATAAAGAAACCTGCTACCATTTAGGATCACATCCTTTGGCATCCCCACAGTTCTAAGCAATGTCTAGTTTATTTTATGTCTTGATGCATTTGCCTCTTCTGGACATTTCATATAGATGAAACATATTCTGTGGGCTTTTGTGACAGAATTTTTTTCGCTTAGGAATTTTTTTAAGGTCTGTCTGTGCTCTAGCATATATCAACACTTCATTCTTTTAATGAACAAATAATATACTATTGAATGGTCAGACCACATGTTATTTATACATTCACTATTAATGGACATTTAATCTTGTGGTTATTATGAATATTCCACTATTAATGTTTGTGTGCAAGTTTTTAATATATAGCTGTGTCACAGTGACAGAGTATTTAACCAATTTGAATAACCGCCAGAATGTCTTACAAAGAGCTTTATCATTTTTTTTCTACCACCAGCAGCAAGAAAGGGTTCCACTTTTTTTCAAGTCCTCCCCAATATTTTACTCTATTTTTATGTGGCACTGAGGCTCAAGCTCAGTTCCTCATGCATGCTAGGCAAGTGCTCTACCTCTGAGCCACAACCTCAGCCCCTACAGGTCTCTTTGTTTGCCTGAAAGTTTGATTTATGATGGAGAAACTGGGCTACACAGAATCAATCCCAGAGCAGGTGAGCAGTAAAGGTCTACCATGTGGTACCAGCTTTAGCTCCAAAAGGGTCAGAGACTTAAGGTCAGCCCCTTGTAGTGTAGGTAAACAAACCTCTCAATAAAACCTCCAACGAGGCTTGGGTGTTTCCCTAATTGGTAATATGCAATATATGTTGGCACACATCATGGCCAGAAAGAATTAGCACTAAGATTCATGGAGAGGAGACAACTAGAAGTCCCATGTCTGGACCTCAACTGGATTCTGTCCTGTGTGTTCCCTCCCTCCACTGATTTTAATCCACATTTTTCCTCTGTAATAAACTATAAACATGAGTATAATAGCATTGAGTCCTTCTAGTAAATTATTGAACTTGAGGGTAATTATGTGAACCTACCCCCAAACTTGAAATTGGTGTCAGAAGTGAGGGCAATCTTCTGTGGCCATTTATCCCTCTACTTTCTCAGTTGGCTGAACTCTTACCATGAGGTAAATAAAAAATGATAATATCAAACACATATATAGCAATTACGACATGCCAGACCCTCTTTTAAACATTTTATATGCTTAAAAGTATCAAAATAAGCCCACTATAGTTACAAATGGATGATTTGTAAATGGTTGATTTTTTCTCGATTGTTTAGCCACCTCTCAAGGGAAAAGGGAAGACTTCTCCTCTAAAATCGGTATCCCTGCACATTTTCACTTTGTAGTTCTCCCTTTATCATCCAAACTAGTGGCAATAATTTAATATAAAAAGGATTTCAGTGCAATGTCTCTGTATTTCTCATTTCATTTTGGCTCTTAGCAGATTAATTTTTTAAGTGTTATCCCCAATCTAATGTTCTTAAATTTTTGATCCTTGGGTTACTAATTCATACTTTTTACCCCATTCTTATATTCCTTAAATTCCAAGTCTCTTTAATTCCATAGGCCCTTAAGAGTCCTTAAAGGACCCTTCCTTGCCTTATGTTTCAATCTAACCCTTCATTCCAGATATTTACTGAGCATCCAAAATACGCATGTTCCTGGGCTAATTCTTGATAGAGATACAATGATGAATAAGGCATTGCCCAATCTCACCCCTACCCTCAAAAACAAACCCTTCTACAGGTTATAGAACAAAACATGCTAATCTTTTATGATAAAAGTGATTAGAAGCACAAAAGGAACATAAATAAGATAGTGATTAACGAGGAAGTCAGTTCAACCTAGGAAGAATTAAGTAAAGGATGGAGGTAAAGAGAAATATTCTCCTTAAAATTGTCAACTCCCCAGTGTGGCTATTTCTTTAACCTCTTCCCACTATTTATATTCCCCAACTCCTTTAACACTATATAGACAAATTAATGTTGTTATTTTCTTTCAAAACTTAACAATTTGTATAGGATAATTCAACGTATTATTTCCAGATATTGCTTAGAATTCCATGATTTCTATTACCTTTTTTTTTTTTTTTAGGGATTTGAACCCAGGGCCTTGTACATGCCAGGCAAGTACTTTACCACTGAGCCACATTCCCAGCCCTCTATTACCTATTTTTATAATACTAATATCAAAAATGTTTAATAAAATATCCTTTTCCTTCCCTTTCATACACATGCAAAGGTGCCTTTAAAATCAGTTAGTTCTATCTTTAATACACAGAGTAAAACATTTAGACAGGAAATTCAAGTAATTTCTCTTAATTATATTGCTTATTAAAACAGGTTCCCTCAGAAAGTAAATGGTCTTATGTTTTCTTTCATATGTGGAAGCTAGAGAGAAAAAAAGAGAAGTAGGGTGGCTATCATATGAAAATAGAAGGGAAACCAGTACAGTGGAGGAGGGGGACCGAGGAAGGAAGGATGGGAATGAAATTGACCAAATTATGCTGTTCATATTTTTGAATGTGTAACAACTAGTCCCTCTAATGTGTATAATTATAATGTACCAATAAAAAATTCATTGTACAAAATATATATGTACCAACAAATAAATAAAAT